AAAAAATTTTTTTTTTTTTTTTTTTTTTTCTTCTCCATTTTGAGGAGAGTTGGGGGTGGGGCAGGATATTTTACCAACAGCCATGAAAAAGCTGCATAAAATATATGATTTTAAATGTCACTTAAGAAGCATATATGATTACTGTAAATTGTTATACAAAATGTTAAACATGTTCTAAATTGAACAAAGAAAATAACACTGTCATTATTTTTCATTGCTGATACCTAAAGCAGCTGCACTGGTTAAATGTTAACTAAACTGCACAAGTCCAGGAAGTATTATTCAGTCATAAGAGAACTAAACAATTCTACTTCAAAATATTAGGCCAGAGATAACACTGACATGAATACACACAGCTCAAGGCCTGTCCTATAACTCCAGTGTTTTCAATATTCCAGGGTTAAGAAAGGGAGAGAGGGACCTGACAGATAATACATGAAATGTCACTAAATACATTTTGATAGCTTTGGGTGACTCATAAATTAATTTGGCAAAATCACTTTCCCTGGAGGAATGCAAAACCAGTAACATTTCAGCAAGAAGCGACATTGATAAATATAAACATTTGTCTCAGTCATGGTCTGCTGTTAACAACTTCGTTAAACCAGGAGCAGCATCTGAATCCAAGGCTATTCCAGGGTGGCTGAACTTCCTATGTGTGGTCTTCAAGACACACTAATTCAAGACTTTGCTGGACACATCAGCCAAGGATTTTCAAGTCAAAAAAGCTGAACCAAAGGGGAGGAAAAATAACTCGATCTCAGACACGAACTTCTCCAAGCTTCTGTGAAGCATCGAGTTCTTCTGGTCTTTGCCATCCAGGGTAGAAAAATCTCATGAAGGGACCCACTGATGTCTCTCAGACACATGGGAAAGGGATACCCCAGGGCTTCTCCCTAGAGGAAGAGTCTTGATTCCTCAAGGGTGCCTGAGTATTATATCTCCTGCCCTGTTTCATTTATGTGTATACTTAATATATGTATACAACACCCAAAAAGGAGCACAAAGGCATCTTTACAAAATTGCTACATAGTTAATTTCATGCATTATCGTCTTTTTGTCTTCTAAGAATATCAGGATTTGCAATTACTACATTTAACTTCAACCATAATAGATGTAAACATATAAACATTATAAAACACACAGATTTTCCTTTGCCTCATCACACACAGAACACCCCAATATGTGGAGGCCATGCCTTTCAGGTCTCAGAATTCAAGTTTCCCACCCCAATAAAACTAGTTTATTCACTTTTTTGTTGTCTGTTTGTTTTTCAGACAGGGTTTTTCTGTGTAGCTTTGTAGGTCAGGCTGGCCTACAAACAAACAGAGATCCATCTGCCTCTGCCTCTGCCTCTGAAGTGCTAGGATTAAACACATGTGCCACCACTGCTTTTTACATCATTACTTCTTATAGAAACACCTTTCTTCTTCCTATTTTTAAAAATCTTAACCAGGCTGAATGTCCTTTAGCCCCTCCATAGTTTTCCCAGAACCTCTGGTCATTATGATGATAAACAGCCATCTATATTTCTTTCATAATTCTGAACTTACACTCTAACAGGGAAAAAGTGTCTCCTGAAAATCCTCAAGGTCACTTGATGAGATTACTGCTTCTTTGTACGTGGATACATATGGTTGCAATACTTGACAAGAATAGTTCCTTTCTTATGTACCCTCCATCCATCCATTGCCCATGCACCTACCAAATTGCTCAACTATGTTTGTTCATCTTAAGAACTATCTATCTGCCTGACTGAACAGCCCAACACCCTTTTATATGAAAATCAGCAAAGAACTGATGGGAGCTCACTATCACATTACTCGAATCATTTGTGGGTATTTTCATCTCTCTTTTGGTTTCACAGGCAGAATCTGAAGGTTTCCTGGCGGTCATCAGGATCAAATGTCTATTATCACTTAGAAATTCTGGGAAGCAGAGCCACTGTTTAAATAACCTATTACCAGTTGTGTAGGAAGCTGGTATTTTAAACCTCCCTTAAACCACTAATAACACCTTCTGAGAATACAAGGGTTTGGAATTTGGAGTCTCTAAAAACTACAGAATGTAGCAGGAAACCCAAGTTTAGCTCTTTTGTGTCTATGTTAATTCAAAATGATCCTATAGTTAACTGTCTGCCACTGAGTAGGCCTAGGAAGGGCCTGGAGATCACCATGGAAACTTTCAGAGCAGAGGTTCTCAACCTTCCTAATGCTGGGACCCTTTAATATAATTCCTCATGTTGTGATGGCTCCCAGCCCCAACCATAAAAGTGTTTTCCTTGCTACTGCATAACTGTAATGTTCCCAGTATTATGGACCAGGATGTAAATATCTGTGTTTTTGGATCGTCTTAGGTGACCCCCTGTGAAAGGGTCACGGCCCACAGCTTGAGAAGCACTGTTGCAAGGGCGAATGCTTATGGAACAACCTGGAGACAATGCTCAGATTGAAGATTCAGAGCAGCAGCCTAGGTCAGCCACCTGTGCTGCTTGCATCCCACTCTGCAAATGGCTGCCTGCATGGAGGAGACCTCTTTCTCTCATTATTGTCCTTTCAGTACTGGTAACAGAATAGAACCCACATTTCATAGGCAAAGAGGAAAACTTACAAGAAAAGGTGAACAAAGGGAATATACAGCCCTGCTGTATTATATAAACGTTCCCTACTTGAACATTTTTCAAATTATATGGTTTGGGGATTCCACAAATTATTGGACCATATATACAACACGACACTATAATCTTTAGCATATATACCACCAAGAACATGTTCTATTGTCATTATATTTCTCAAGATTTTATTGGCCACACTGTATTTCAGCCTCCAGATACATAACAGATTATTTAACAAACATCCATGGCTGATGACACTAGTTAGTTCCCAACACTTTGCTTCTCTTGCTACACTAGTTCAATCAGTGTTGATACTGATCTGTCTACACCTCACAAACAGGAGCAAGCCCTTCCACAGCACCTGACACAAGGGACTGGTCCATAATAGCTACCTCTGTATACTCTTCAGGACAGTTTCTGGTCCACAAGAGCTACTTCGTGTCTTGGGATGGTGCCTGGAGCACGTTTGATGCTCCTGTATAAAATCTGAGAGACAAGTCTTGTGTGTGTGTCTTAATATCAATGGGCTGTTTTTTTTTTTTTTGTTTTGTTTTTTTTTAAAGGATACTTCTCTAGAAACAGAAGAACAAAAGGTATATTTCTAAGTCTTGAATAATATCCGTCGTCTCTCCCACAACAGCCCTAACAATTTATACTTACACAATATTATGTACTTTCCTGCAGTATTTGTCAATGTTTGGCGTTTCACTTAAAATCTAAAAGGTCTTCACACTTCTATGAGGCTAATTTCCCCCTTTCGAGGTATCACTTGGTTTTGGTTTAGCTAACTTTGCCGTGATATACACAGCTTTTGCTCAGTGGCATGAAGGAATTTCTGATAATAGTTAAGATCTTCGTTTGTGATTAAATGTCTTCCTACCCATACAGTTGTTATCCTCCTTCAGATAAGGAATCTTCCAGGTAGACAAAACCATTGTACTCATCAACTGTTTCGTGCTTTTCACACCTGTGATCTTAATGTTCACCTGCAGGTCAGGTGGCAATCTCATCTTTTCTCAAGTCCTGTTCTCCTATTTTATAGACACAGGGTTTCTTGCTTGCCTGCAACTCCCTAGGTAGGCTAAGCTAGCAGGCCAGGAAGCCCCAGGGATTCAGTCTCTGTTTCCACAGTGCTGGGGTTACACGCTTTGCTTTTCTTAACGAAGGCCTCCAGGGACTGAACTCAGGTCCTCATGCTTGTGTGGCAGGCATTTTATTCACTGAGCCATCTCTCGAGCCCTGTCAAGTGTTTCTTTAATGATTTATTCCCTGTTTTAAATTTAGGAATGCATTCTCAGTCTTCAGATCTTATGGTCAATTGTATTTTATTATAATATGTATAGGTTTTATATTACATTTATTATCAATAATTTTAAGATGCAAGAGCAACTTAGACTGAAACAAATTTAAAGTGTAAGGCAAAAAACTGTGAAATAAATACTCTAATATCATAATCATTTCTGAAGAGCAAAAATATTAACAGGGCATTAATACTTCACATTAAATATATACACACATATATATGAATGTTCTACAAATTCTACATTATCCCATTTGACCAAATAGGTGTGATATAGTTGGGGGTGCCTTCCTTAGTTGATCCAATACAGACAAAAATAACAAGCAAAACTCCCCTTTGTATTCTAAACTTGGCCATACTTGGTCATATGCTCAATTTCTTTTAACCAGAAGGTGTTTCAAGGTGGCATTTGGCTGGGGAATACTGAAGGCCCTGCCTTCATTCATCAGACCCACAATTGCACACCAGCTCCCTGCCTATTAAATCAGGCTCCTACATTTTCATCCCCTTAACTCTTCCCCTTTCCTGGAAGTATGAAAACTTAAGCGACAGAGTGAGAGAGAAAACACAAAAGCAAGTGGCTGGGGGCTCAGAAGCATGCCATGTGTTGCAAATGAGCCAGACTTAGCCTTTCCACCACAAGCTAGAGTCATGCTGACAGAGAACAAGGCAGGGAAGGCAGATGAGGTGGCAAAAGATGCCTTTCAGAGTTTCTGAATGACTTACAATGTAAGTCACAGAAAAGCATTCTTTTGTGAAATAATGACCTGAACAAATGTGAGAAGCACATAATGATACAAGAGTCCAGGTCATGCGGGTATTACATTTATTTATAGAGAAAACGCCCGTGGTTTACAATGATGAACACAGAGCAACCAGCCAGTCTGAGTCTCCATGCACTTACGAAGCAAAACAGGAATTAGAGATGTAAGTGTAGTCAGAACAATACTTACAAGGTGACAAGTTTACCTGACTTTTCTAAAATTCCAAGCAGCTAACAATTAAGAAAACAAGAGACATTCATTGATTTCCAAATGTTTACTACAAATGACACCATGAAACACAAACAGGATCCTTCACCATGCCCCAAACAGAACAAACATCTTCCCCTCAGTCATTTGGGAAAATATGGAAATACATGCGGCTGGAGTAAGGAGCTGTGCCATTAAGACTGACGATATACAATACCATAAAGTAAGACAAGGATGACACAGTATAGGGATAACTATGGACACAGCAAACCAACAGCAATTACACAGGTATCGATCTGGGATATGAAAATTGATTACTTTTTGTCTTAGCTTAGATATGTGATGTATGCAACTTAATTGATCAAGAAAAAAGGTAATGCATTTTTCAAGAAAGTGTAAGATTTCATCGAGTGGCATCAAGCATGGAGGTAGAGCTGGTGTTCACACACAATGACAATCACAGGACAGCCTACACTAACTGTTACACACTGGTGACTTGACATGTGGTTGGGACACACTTTGTGGTTTAGTTGGTTAGCCCTGAGGAGACAAGCAGTCAGACTATTTCTGTTGGGTACCAAACTGTGATCCATGGCAGAGCCAGAGACATAAACTCAATGAGTTTCTTATCCTGGGATCTGGGTGTGTGTGTGGGGGGGGTGTGTGTGTGGGTGTGGGGGTGTGTGTATGGGTGTGTGTATGGGTGTGTGTGTGGGGGGGTTAGGGCTGAAGATAGTCTAGAAAGATCTCACTCTTAAAAACCAAAATGTTTCTGCTTTATCAAGAGGCCAAAGAAAAAAAGTATGTGTTTTATCCACTTATAAAACTCTACATGCCAGGAAATCAATCACAATTTCCCAGAAAATAGATAAAATGTGAAAGCATAATGCTTTAAAGCTAAAAATATTTTTGCAGTGGACTTAAGCAGACACAGAAGGTGCTACATGTCACTCTCTAACCAGAAACACTGTTGGAGTTTCATTTTTCAAGAAACAAAAACAAAGACAACTTGTTAAAATGACGTAGCAATTTCATAATAATAAATTTGTAAGAGTCTTCCCTAAAATGTCTCCCTGGAAAAAAGAATTCATGAGCCATCCAGAGAGGATGGGAGATCGTTATTATTAAACTTTAAAGTGCTCTCCTTAGCATTTGCCCTGAAAAATACCCCTAAGCTGCACTGATGTTCTAGAATGCCCATTGGACCTTTCTTTACTGGATCAAGGTTCTGTACAATCTCCAGGACACAGATGAAAAGTCTGTGCTGAATCTGACTGCCTGTGTTGCCCTGTTCTTACAGTCCAGTCACACTGATTAGATATTGGGAATGCCATCTTCAGAGATAAAGACTAGCTGCCCTCAGTTTCTGCATCCGTGAATTGAGGAGGTCATCATGACTTTCAAAGGCTGAGGGAGTGGGGCTGCACAGAAGCAACACGGACCATGTAGGGCATTAAGGAAGAAAGAGACAAATCTCCTCCTTGGGCTGATTCTGCATCCCATCCATTCCCCATCCACAAGGGGAAAAATGAGCGTTCACAGTATCAGCTGTGTTTGGGTTTACTGCTTTCACATTAGAACCAAAATGTTTTGATTAGCAGAGTCTTAGTTGTGTCCCAATTTGGCTGAGATGTAGATCTGAGTCTTTCTGTTGGAGACGGTTTTGCTTATTTGTGATGCCTCATGTTAAGGGTATGTCTGATTATAAATGTGTGGTGTTTTTAATCTGCATCTTCTTGCTTCCACTCAGGGAGGTTATCCAACTTACCCAGAAGAGACTGGGCACTGTGAGCAGAGAACAAAGCTGAGAAAGGGAAAGAGGAAGCCCACAGACCCTGTAAAATGGCCCTAGGAAAAGAAAAGAGGTGGCCCTCAAGTTCTGGCTGGTTAGATACCAACCTCAAGATTATTCCAAGACAGATGTTAAAAGGGTCAGAGAAGAGAAATATGAACAAAGCTACGTTAGCCAACATGAAGCAAAGAGGCTTTTTCTATGAGGACTCAATAAACTGGAAGTCTTACTAACAGCTTTCAATAAAGGGAAAGGAAAGGACCACAAACTCAGCTTTTGGCTATGTGATGAATATTGAAAACAACATCAAAAAGGTAAGCTCAGTCTTACTCTTTCAGCCCAGCGCTCCCAGCTCCCAGTACAAAGTAAACCTTTCAAAAAGCACACTAGATACCTCCATGCGCCATTCACTGTGGGTTCCCTTTAGTCAGCATTTCTACCACCTCTGATGGACTTTAGAAGCCTCTGAAGAACCCATGGTTATGCTCCACAATAGAAAGTGGTCATCTCTTTTCACTTGTAGGGGTAGATGGAGGGAGAGGAGGCAGAGAAGCGGGGAGTGGAGCAGGGGAGGGGGAAGTAGTGGTGGAGAAGGCAGCTTCCGCTGACCTTCCTCTGTATAGGCGTGCCTTTGTAAAGGATTCCCATCCTCGGTATTATTAACAGGACCTGGACTAAATCTCTGCCAAGAAACAGTGTTGCACGATGGTCCACTTTTATCAGCACAATAACAGTTTGTGGTTAAATGCAAGAGTTAAACCCCAATTCATCCACATTCTCTGGCAAACTCCCAAACTGCCCACTTCTGTCAATAATCATCTTTATATCAAAACAGCCATCTCTTACTTCTATTTAAAATCCTATCAATGTACCTTTCTCAACTCTCTTTAAAGTAACTGATTCATGGATGCAGCCCTCCAACCAGGTTCATACTAGTACTCTTTAAATGACCACATGTCTTTTAAACATAAAAAAAAAAAAAACCCACTCATGGACATTTTTGATCCCTTATGTATAACAATTATTAAGATATTATTTCTTTAGTAGCACATACCTCTTTTGGTAAAGACACCAGTTTATTTCTGTCTGCATTCAAGTTGCTCAATTTCTTAAGTTTTCCAATGCTCTTAGGTAGAGTCTGTTAAAAATAATATGTTTGTTATTAACTTACCACAATTTTTGTAATATAGCTGGACAGAAAAAACAACTATTTACAAGGACTTTAAAAGCATCAGTGAAAGACAACACTTCTTTCTAAATATTAGATGTCTGTAATAGTCACTTGGGGAAATGTAATGAAGTATTCTAAAATTCTGCTGATAGTATGTTTGAAAGAAATTAAATCAAAGATGGAGACAGAGTAATGAAATGTTCTCCCATTTATCAAAATGTGCATTTACACCCTCAATGTTTACACGTGTCCTTTCAGCATGCCAGACAACCACCTGCTCTGACATGTGGAAGCTAGCACGCTGTCCACATAGCTGGGTCACAGCAGAATCTGGGGGGTCACTACAGTTTAACAGCTATGGTTTCTATTTGTAAGCCTACAGCCACGGCTGGGACAGGGTGATCTGGGAACTTCAACCATGACTGCCTGAGACAGACAGCTATCTCAGGAAGGACGCTGCAGGGACCCACCATGTCTACGTTTTTGCTCTTCGTAGGCTGTCTCTCACTGCTCTTTCCAGCTAAAGAAAACTACTTCATTTAACAACCTAGGAGAAAGGGGAAGCAAGAGGGAAGAAAAGAAGGGAATGCAGGGTAGAAAAAGGAATGGCCAGAGAAGGCAGTGGAGAGAGAGAGAGAGAGAGAGAGAGAGAGAGAGAGAGAGAGAGCAAAGTACTTGCCTCTTAAAAAGGAACAGGCAATCATAGTAAAAGGGCAGGAGATGAACAGTGGGCCTGGGGCAGGAAGGAGGCAGACAGCATAGACTGGCCCCAGACTGGCTGCCACCATGCTGACCCACCGAGGGCAGGGGTGCATGCACTCTTTGCCCTGGTAGGGAGAGGAAGCTTGGTCAAAGTGTGAGTCTGGGCAGCTGCCTTCAGTCCTTGTTTTTTAGGGTAGAGACAGCAGTGGTCTTGTTCAAAGTTTTCACATGCCATCCTCCAGCTCAGAACACAGAGCAGTCTAAGCATCCATCCCTCAGGGCTTTCCCATTTCTTCTGCTGGTGCACTAACACGCCCCAGACACACCCAGCTTACAGGCGGGCTTCACAGGGACCGAGGTGTGAGTACAGGTCCTACTCTCTGAGGACACATGCTCTGAGCATGGAGCCCGCCCACTCTTGGCTTATACAGCAAAGGTTGGTCTTGAGGTCACACCTCTTCAGGGCAGGGACAGAGAATCCATCACAAATCCTCATCACAGCACAACAAGGCACTCACCAGGAGACGGTTTTCTGTAAGAACTAATTCTGTGAGGTTTTCACAATCCCCAATTGCTTCAGGCAACTGTGTGAGCCTGTTCTGATCCAGCTTCAAGATTGACAGTTTCTTTAGTTTTCCTACAAAAGTGTCATTTAAACTCGTTAGTTGTGATTCTTTGCCTAATCACCACTTGCCCCACCCCCACCCCCGCCATCTGCCATTCTTTTTCATTTTATATAATTACTTATCTTTTCTTCAACTGGCTTTTCAAACTGAAACTGTATCACCCTCACTTAGATCACCAAAGGTTGAGTGTTAAGAGTAATTTGTTTAGCACATCAGAAAGTAATTAGAAACAAGTCATGTAAAAGGGCTAACTAGAAAGACTGTGAAAACCAGAAAATTTCATGAAGGCCAGTTACTGATGCATTTGTAAGAACAGGAGCCGTTTTGTGGATAAAAGAGAATGGAGTCTGACCCCACCCCCCTCACTAAAGCAGCTGACTGACCTGCCCCCTCAAGGACACAGCTGCCAAGTCACCTGTGAATGTAGTGACTCTGTGAAGAGCCTAACAGAAGTAGCCCTGTGTGTGCAGAAAAAGGTGGAAACTCTGAAGAGCTTCTGAACAGGAAGTTTTGACGGACACCCACAGGACAAGGGGAAAGAAGAATGAGTCTAATGGCCACCTCCAAGTCCCCAGGGAAAAATGAAAACACCTGAATTCTTCTTTTCAGCTGAAGTCAGGGAAACAAACCATGCAGGCACCCTTCCTTATCCTAGTAAGGACACCTTCCCCATTAAATGAGAAGATCACCTCTACACAAACAGAAACATGAAGCTGGGGCAAAAGAAGGGAAGGAAGAACTCTCTGGGCTTAGGCAGAGCCCCAGGACAAGGGAGGACTAGTCATTCCTTAGCTCACTGTGTAGCATCATCAATAAGTTACTAAGTACCCAGTGGATCCCCACAGGCCCTGCCTGTAAGAGGATATGCCAGCACTACCCACAGGGTACAGTGCAGCTTGAAACATCTCCTCACCCCTACTCCCAGCTCAAAGTTTTATGGCTTGAATAGTTCAAGTGGGGTGGGGGGGAGACACTGGTTTCTTCACTAAGAAGGGCCAGGTAATTGGTAGCAATTATCTTTGTTTTTCAAAGCTTTTCAAATGATGCCATCCTTTTGCCCCTCCGAACAGGATACACTAAGCCTGCAATAGAGGGCCTTGCTACAGACACTCCTTTAATGTCCACAGTGGGTCAGCTCCCACCTGCTGATTCCTCCTATTCCAAGCCTCAAAACACCCAGTTTCTACAGCACTTGATGCCATATACGGTTCTAAACAAACCATTCTAGAAAGTCAGAATCCTCATCTGTTTTTCAACTGGGACTGACCAAAAACAGTGTCTCTAGCCCTGCTGACTATCATCGGTTATCACTTCATTTTGACCAATACCAGAAAGGATGGGGTCTTTGGCCACACTCTTCATAATCTTATGACAATCCATGGTTAAACACAGTTCCTTACAAGCACTGGGCAGCACTGCTGTGAAGGGTTACCAGTCCCTGCGTTTAACACTATGTCTCTGTCTCTGTCTCTCTCTGTGTGTGTGTGTGTGTGTTTGTGCATGTTTTAAGTATTAGCACATTTTTTAAAAAAATTAATATTTTAAACAGTTGTGACAAACAAACATTGATTTGGTTCTGTTTTATAATTTTCTAGGTTATACGGCTTTCTACCTGAGAAATTCAAACAAATAAACAACCAAAAAAAGCATATTAACAGGCATTTCCCTTTCTTACAGGATTAGCAATGCATAGGAGGCAAACATTACAGACATGACTCAAAAAGGAGGGGAAGAGAGGGAAGAGGGAGGGGGAGGGAAAGGAAAGAGCAAGGGATGGTTAAAATCTCTCCCAGCATATTAGAAAAGGCTCAACTCTGCCACAGTCCCCTTTAAAAGTACCTTCCTAGTGTGTGCTTATCAATAGGATGGAGTCCAATAAAGACATAAGTTCTAGTGATGTCCAAGTTACAATCTTGTGGACTGTTCAGGATTCTGATGTGAGAAGTCCTACTGACTGCTCATTTGCCATAAACACATCCTCTAATCGTGACTAGTCACTTTTATAATTATAGAGCTCAGATAAAGTAGACACGAATCAACGCTTGAAAGTAACAATATTACAGGTTTTGCCAAACCAGGATGGACAGGCATATTTGAATCTTAGACTGCATTAACTATCCTCTGCTTTCCTTCTAAAAAGGAGAAACATTCCCAGCACTAAACAGCAACGATAAAGAATTCAAGAGTGGGTTCCAAATGTTCGAGATGACAGCAGGTGGAACTATACGTCTGCTACTTTGCAGTACTCACCAATGCCATCGGGAATTGTTTCCAGTAAGTTCTGGGAAATGACTAAGTCTGTTAAAGAAGTCAGGCCACTGATTTCTTCAGGAAGTCTCTCCAACCTGTTTTCAGAGACATCTAAGCAGAGCAGGCTCTTCAGATTCCCTATTTCCTGTGTTAATGGCACAGAAAGAGAAACACATGCTTGAAGCTGGCATAGTACAGAGGAGTTTGCTATGGGGGTTTTTCACAACCAGACCCCTGGTCCACATCACACAAACAAGAGCAGAAAGAATGTAAGGGTTGGAAGATGGAGAAGAATGCTGTGAACCACTGAAGGCTGTGAACTGCTGGACATGACATGACCTTTGCACTCATGACCTCACACCGGGTAGGGTTATCTGCACAAGATCAAGCTGCCCACAGTTTGAGCACAGATTGGCACAAAAACCTCACCCCACCCCCCACCCCCAGTGAGAAGGTTGCTGGAGAAAGGAGAGTTCTTTTCCTTTAAGGTGGACCCAGACCCATGTGCATATGGGCAGCACTAACTGGACTTAAAGGGTCTAAAAGAAAAGGGAAATGATGAAGACATGAAGTCGGGAGGAGATGAAGCAGGGTCAGGGGAGTTGGAGGAAAGGAGATGAGGGTGGATATGACCAAAACATATGTATGAAAAACTGCTTTTAAAAAATCGTCAGTTCTTTGGTCAGCAGAGGCAGGCAGATCTCTATGAGTTCAAGGCCAGCCTGGTCTACAAATCGAGTTTCAGAATGGCCAGGACTATTACACAAAGAAACCCTGTCTCAAAAAGCAAAACAAAACAAAACCCAAACCAAACCAAACCAAACCAAAAATCCTCAGTTCTGGGCTGGAGAGATAGCTTGGTGACTCAGAATACTGGCTACTTTGACAAAAGTCCTGGTTCAATCCACAGCACCCACCCATCTGTAACTCAATCCCAGGGGACCCAACATCCTCTTCAAGGGAGGGGGGTAGGGGGAGAGGCACTGCACAAATGTGGTGGACAGACAGACATACACACAGGCAAAACACTCACACATAAAATACAAAAGTAAAATAAGCTAATGCCTCAGTTCTGAGTATGTTATTTTACCACATATGAAGGTGTACATAGTTGAGTAAATTTCTAGACCCTTTTCCAATGAAAATAATAAACTATATGAACCATAGCCACAGAGCCTGAAGGGAGTTTGGTTTTAGTACAACTTGATACTAGAGGCAAATAAGACTTTTAAATAAGTACTCACAGCATAATCCACTGGAGATCCAATTCCTTTGTGGTTAGAATGCCACATGTCACACAGTCACTTACACACATCTGCACAGACAGGTACTCTCCCCGTTTTAATGTCACATGGCTAGTATTTTATTACACTCCTGATATTCCACTGTATATTCTCCCTACCTAGACGTTCTCTGACAAGGATTTTGCACATGTTACAAAGAATTCGAAGTATTAGCCAAAGGCTACCACAAGTTACTTATCTGTTTCTCTTTCTGAAGGGCAGCCCAAATCTGAGTAGAGTCTAATTAGTGTCTTAGTTCCAATAGTTATTAAGTGACATCATGATAACATCAGTGCTGTTACCCTGACAACTGCAATTTCAGTTGAGTCCTTCCTTCTAGTTTTAGATTTCCTGGCCTCTATCTGTCACTCCCCCGTCCCCCACAGCTCATAGGCCCACCACTACTGGGCCACACAGTCAAGTGGGCAGCATGCAAAAGGTTTTAAATTTGCCCATCCACACCATAAAAGGCACAGTCTGTAAACATTCAAGGTTCAAACTCCATGACAGAGAAAAGGCAGGTAACAATAAAAAATGCCTGTTGTGCTAGGGAAGGCCTTTTGGGTGAGTTTCTCAGTTGATCCATCTACAGCTAGACCTGCCTGCTAGACTCCACCCTGAAGAATGAAATGGCCCAAGGCACATTTCATTTAGAACATGGGTCTCACGTTTGACAACAGCAGAGAAAAGACTAAACACCATGGTATACCAGCTTAAACCTCGAGTGCTATGGGTGGACAGGGGAGATCTTAATATTGCTTTACATTAACTACCACAGGTGGGAAAATGTAGTAAAAAAAAATTATCACCAAAAGCAGCAGAGATTTATACTGTCTTAATTATGGTCTTTGTAACTCACTGATCTACTGGACTTGAAGTAAACTGTACTGGCTAAAAAGAATGAGATGACATTCAGACTTCAGCATCTTTTAGAGACAGTGGGCTAGGTTTTCAATCTCTCTGTGGCACTGCATGATGGTGAAAGCTCATGGCCTATTTGCAATTTTTTTTTTTTAAACCATGTTTCTTATCTTTGGGGTCTTCTAGAAAGCCCCATAGAAGCAGGGAACACACACAGTTTACTGCCGTTGCTGTGTATTTTGGGAGACACACTGTAAATTACCTGAGGTAATTCAGACAGTTGATTTCCATCCAACCAGAGATCCTTCAGATGTAGGAGCGCCCCAATTGATTCTGGCTGAAACAAAAGGTAACATCATAGTAACAAGGCCCCAGACCTCCATCTTCCATTATGGGAGAAAACGGGTACAGGGTACCACAGTGGGGTTAGTTGTTACATCTTTCATATCGAGACTCTGTCCTTGAACCTGCCCCAATCTCTTCCCAAGAATGCAAACACTTCCCCTCACGATCAGACCACTAGTCCCGACTCTCCCAAACTGTATTTCTCGACCACTGTGAACAGAAGCACATCCCCCCATGTTTTCTAGCTGTACCTGAAAGACATCCCTCCTGAACACTTCAAAATCACTTGTGATCATAAGGACAGAGAAACACCAAATTTCTCAGACACACACTTACCAAATTATAGATTTCATTGTTTCCTAAATCAAGTTCTTCTAGTCTCCTCAGTTGGGTGAGAGAGCTGTTGAAACAACCAACAACAACAAAAAATGCTCAGAGAAGGCTTTGGGCATGCAGAGCAACAAACTTCCCTTCCTTTCTTGGACTAGTGTCCAAAGCATGGTTCATTTGTATGTGGCAGGAAGCACTACCCAGGAAGGACAATGCTGCCAGTCACTCTGTACACAATTCCCCTTGTTTTCCCCAGAGATTCACTCACTCAGGAAGATAAGTAAGAAGATTCTCTCTCAGTTCCAGGGAGGCCAGGTTATAAAGACTAGAAATTCGAAGAAGAAAACAGTGTTAAGAAAATGCCTTAGGCATTCCTACTCTCCCTCCACCATCCACATCCCCCGAGTTCCGCTCTTATTAAAACCTTTCCTGGTACTCCCCAGGATAAAAATATTTACCACCACCACCCTCCACCACCACTAATGAACATAATCTTCACTTCCCAAATTTCAATACAATAGCATTAATACCCCGGTACAGTGTTGGACCCACAAATACCTTATACATGAGACATGGAAGTAACTCACTAGCCACTGAAGACGACAGCCACTCCCTGAACTAAGGCAGAAGCCAACTATGTGCCTCTCAACTTCAGAATGTTAAAAATGTGCTGGTATAAGAACAGCAGTGCCTTTAATCTCCAGGGGCTGGGATTTCTTCCTGTTATCAGTGAAATATCATGCCTGCTTTAAAGAAGACTGACTTGGTCTGACAAGATGGCTCAGGGGGTAAAGGCCACCAAGCTTGACAATCTGAGTTCAACACCCAGAATCCACTGGTGGAAAGACAGAACCAATTCCTGCAAATTATTTTCTTACCTTTACTGTGGCATGTCCCAGCCCAAATAAATATAATTTAAAAAATTAAACTTGGGTCTCTCAACAAAGGCCAAGTGCTCTAGCAGATGGTCACCAGCCACCAGAGGTTAAATGTATCATAGATAATATAATGAGAGGCTCTGCCCATACAATTGACCTAATACTGTAGCTATACTGACACTGTTCTTACCCTTACTAAACTCTAGAATGCTGTTCTTTGCAGTATACACTCCTGCCTTTCAGATATAAGAAAGTCTATCAGGATACTATGGAACAGGCAGATGCTCTCCCCAACAAAGATCATCTGGGTCACTTTCAGACAGAGTCACTGCCTCATCAACTAAAGCCTCCACACACTGAGCTAACTCAGTATTGCATGACACAGATTTCAAAAAAGCGACTATCCTTCACCTCTCAGGCAACTGGGCTCCATGCCAACTCCAAATAATTTTGCTAATATTGCTTTAGCAGCATCTAGATTTGGAGTGGTTTTATTTCTGAACATCAACATTAATCTGCCTTAATCCTTTACTTTGTCTTTTCAACAACAAACAACAAAACTAGGACCATGTGAACTAAAAAGCCAGAAAACAAATATGAGTAAACAGTCTTTCCATCAATACAGATATATATCTGCACACACACACACACACACACACACACACACACACACACGATTCTCAACATTTGTTTGCTGAGAATATTTTTTTCTTTTTTTATTAGTTCAAATTAGGAACAAGCTTGCTTCACATGTCAATCCCTTCTCCTTCTCCCTCCCCTCCCCCATTCCTCCCCCACCAGCCCCCCAACTCATCCCCCCTCTGCTCCCCAAGGAGGGTAAGGCTCTCCATGGGGGTTCCCCAAAGTCTGTCATATCATCTGGGCAGGGCCTATGTGGGATAGGCTCTCAAAGTCCCTTCTTACACCAGGGAAAAATACTGATCTACTACCAGGGGCCCCATAGAGTGCAGAGGCCTCCTCACTGACATCCACGTTCAGGGGTCTGGATCAGTCCCATTCTGGTCTCCCAGACAGCAGTCTGGGGTCCATGTGCTCCCCCTTGTTCAGGTCAGCTGTTTCTGTGCATTTCACCAGCCTGGTCCCAACCCCCTTGATCTTCATTCCTCCCTCTCTGCAACTGGGTTCCAGAGTTCAGTTCAGTGTTTAGCTGTGGATGTCTGCCTCTACTTACACTGGATGAGGACTTTAGGATGGCATATAAGGCAGGGAGTATGAGGGCAGGGGAGAAAGAGCTGGCAGAATGAGAGGAGGAGAAGAGGAGGGGAAGAGGAGGAAATGGAGGAGCAGAAAGGTTGAGCCAGGGGAAGAATAAATAAAGGAGAGCAGGATGAGAGATACCATAACAGAGGGAGCCATTATAGATCCGAGGAGAGATCTGGCACTAGGGAGAGTTCCAGATATCTACACGGATGACACCAACTGACAATCTAGGCAATGGTAGAGAGGCTACCCTAAACGCCCTTCCCCTATAATGAGACTGATGACTGCCTTATATGCCGAGAATATTTTTAACTACGCTAAGGGCAGTATACACTGTATCTTGTCCCATTGTAAACTGAATAAGGGATTGGTGAGATGGCTCAGCAGTTAAGAGCACCAGCTTCTCATCCCGAGATCCTGGGTTAGGTTCTGAGCACCCACATGGCAGTTCACAACAGTCTGCAATTCCAGTCCAGGCGATCTAATATTTTCCTCTGGCATTTATGGGCACCATGTGCACATAGTACATATACATAAGAATCTGAAAACCAAATAAGAGTTTCCATTAAAAGCCAAAGCAAACAAAGATGTCAAATGAACACAATTTATGAAAACCACAATCTTTCCTCTAAATAATCACTCATGGACCCAACCCCAATATTTTCCCAATGGAATGGAACTAACTGGCAATGGGCTGGCAATGGAAGTTCTAGCTTTACTTCCTTTCGATCAAATGATCACATGGAAGTACTGCCATGGCAGGGGTACTATCCAGAAGTAAGACGCACAATGCTAAGTTACACTTAGAAAGGGAAAGAGCAGCTGGCCAGTGGTGGCGCACACCTTTAATCCCAGCACTCGGGAGGCAGAGGCAGGCAGATCTCTGTGAGTTCAAGACCAGCCTGGTCTACAGAGCGAGTTCCAGGACAAGCTCCAAAGCTACAGAGAAACCCTGTCTGGAAAAACCAAAAGTAAAGAGGGAAAAACGGAAGACTGGATGTCACAGTGAATGTTCATGTCATCCCACCAGGGTTATTAGAGAGGTTGTACATCCAGCTATATTCACATTTAAATTTTTTAGAAGGTCACTAGTGGAACTGTCATTTTATTCATCCAACACTCATGACCTTCATATCTATTCTGACAAACTAAGGACATCTACTGCTTCAGAAAAATCTCACTTGCTAGGCATCATCAAATGCATTTTAGATTTGTAAAACTGTTTAATTTTTTAATTATGTGACTTTTGTGTGTACATAGGGGGGCTGTGTGTGCACATTTGATAGCAGATGCCCAGAGAGCCCAGAAGATGGCATCAGATCCCCTACAGCTGGAGTTATAGGCCAACTGTGAACTTCCTGGTGGTGAGTGCTGGAACAAAACTCAGGTCTTCTGCAAGGGCAATCCAGACTCCTAACCACTGGGCCACCTCGGTAGCCCCATCAAATTCATCTGTTTTATACACAGCTTTTGAGTCTGGGTTGCACCACGTTTCTGAAGTTCTGGTCTGAGCACCTGCACCTCAAACACAGAAAGGAGCCTGGAGAGAAGGGGAGCTGGACAGGGCTCCTCTCACCACTCTTCATGCCTCTTCTCACCAAGTCAGTCATGACCATCTTGTGCGAAACATTATAATGACAGGGGGAGGACTGAGGCATCTTACATCAGGAAGAAACAAAGCCACAGTTCAACCTGGCTCCCAGCCAGGGACTCCCCTCACACTGAACTGATCAGGCATCCCAAGAGCTCACCTCTTGCTGGAAGTTTCCCAGTTAAACAATAAAACCATTTCTCGATCTCCAATGCACACAGTAGTCTCACCTCCTTAACCAGGCTGAGAAACCCCTGGAATTTTACCACTTTCTGTTATTAAAAAAAAATATGATACACATGGAATTCTATTCAGTTGTAAAGAAAATTGAAATTTTCAGGTAAATGAATGGAACTAGAAAATATACAGAGTGAGGTAACCCAGGCCCAGGAGGACAAACACTGTATGTTCTTTCTTATTTGTGGATCCTGGCTCCTAATCTTCAGATGTGAGTATCCTAGGGTAAAATGTAAAAGGGGACCATGGAGCAGTGGTAGGAGAAGCTCTAGAAAGGAGGTCAGTAGGAGGCAGGTGCTGTGAAGCTGGGATGGATGGGGAAAATGGGTGTCATTTAACTGAGAAGGGGGAGAGAGGGCAACTCAGAAACCTGTCTGGCTCTACCAGTGGCTGACCAACTCAGCTACCACCTGGGCCCAGATCCAGTGCTTTGAGTCTGGCCACGCCAATATCTACCCCATCTACGAGCTGCTGGAGCATGTGAAGGAGCTAGTCTTGCAGAACCAGAGCTACAGGATCACCATGACTCTGGCAACAGCAGGATACCTGAGACAAGTCTTGTGATGGTCCCGTATTTATGGTGTTCCAGAAACCAGAAACTTTGAACCAGACCAATGCTCCATTGCAATGCTTCGTGTATGTGTGCACATGTGCCACTATGACGAACAGATATTCAATGGAGAGGTGGGAAAGGTAGAGAAATGGAGCCATGAGTGAGTAGAGAGGTACAACCAGAGCTGAGACATCAGTGATAGGTGTGAGAGAAGCCTGCGGCCGACGGGAGAACAAGCTGCCAAGTAGTGCTGACAGGGTGGTGTGCAGCAGCCTGGACCTTGCAGACTGACCCAGGCACCCCAACACACACACACACACACACACACACACACACACACACAGCCCAGCCGCACCATCTCCCTGTTTCCAAGCAACAACACGATGTCCAAGATGAAAAAACGATCATTTTCTGGATTGGGTCTCCTCGAAAGATCTCTATGGCCCCTGGAGGCCACTTCAGTATCCATGGTCCACTGCCCCAGGCCACGTTGAAGCCCAAGGTTCATGCTGATGTCTGTGGTCCTACAACAGCTGAGAGCCATGCTGGTGTCCCTGGCCCAAGGTACCACTGAAGGCCATTCAGATGTTCTTGGTCTGGGCCACTGCCTGAGGCCAAGCCAATGTTCGTGAGCTGTGCTTCCACTGGGGGTTATAATGACGTCAGTGGCCTGCACTGCCACCTAAGACCATGATGACGTTTGGGTCTGTGCTGCTGCCAAGGGCCACATCTGGGTCTGTGGTCCTATTGCAGCTAGGATTGTGTTGGTGTACATGGCCTGTATTACCTCCAAGGGCCATGTAGATGTCCATGCTGTGCAGCCACTGGGGTCAGTATATAGATGT